TCAATCCTGTCATTATAAAAGAGTGGTGGAATTGAAATAAATTAAATATAAATGGATAAAGGTGAGAAAATAGGGTAAGAGACAGGCAGAGAGACACAGAGGGAGACAGAGAGTTTAATGATTCCAGATGAGCTGAGTGGTCTGCCTGACAACTGAAATGAACAGGAATCAATAGTGAGAGCGTCTGTCTGCAGCAGATAAGACACACACTCACAATGTTGACTATTAAAGACGACAGCTTGAGATATTACACTATTAGTTATGCTATTTTTAATCAGCTATCATATTTAATTAATTCTTCAGGTCAGATTCTATCTGAGTGTCTAACTGCGAGGTGTGTATGGTGCGAGGATTCTGCCTCGTGTGTGAGTGGAGGATGGGGGGCTTTTACGCCTGTAATGGGGAAGAGGAGGAGGGCTAATCTAAAACACAGAACCTTGAAAAGACACAAAATAAAAAAAATGGGAGGAATAGAGGAAGCGAAGAGATGGATAGGAGAAGTATAGTGGCAGAAATAAAGAGAAGATGGGGGAAAATTCACCGAAGCTATATCTATAACACTAATAAATAAAGCTGCACTGCTCAAGGTTTTGAAATCCAGTGGATTTGGACAGGTGTCAGGTTTGTTGATAGTGGACAGATTTTGTCAGGACTCCTTATTCTTACATTTTTGAAACCTGTTTTAAAGTATTACTGTTTCCTGTCAGGCCTTTCAAACTTTGAGAGGCCTCATTTAGATAATATAAACTCACAAGTGTGACTACACAGCGTATAGCAGCTCTGATCACTGACACTAACGTACACAATTATTCTGACTGATATTACGATCAACAATAATCCAATTAGTGCAGCAAATCTCAAATCCAGTCTGGAGGCTCTACGCTGAAAGACCAGCTCCATGAACATTATGTTTATGCAGAGCCAAAGCCAGAGGACACAGTGGAAGGAGGGAGAGATGAAAGTTGTGTGTGTGATGAAAGCCTCCGTGTCACACCACACCTTGCTCTGACCAGCCACCGGCATGAGATCAGGCAGCTCAAGCTGCTAATTATAGTAATTATGATTCATTACCGGCTGAGATTAATTTAATAAAGAGGAGGCTGAGCAGAGCTCATTAACCTTCATTAGAATAATTATAGACACAAGACACACACATGCTCACATACACATGCGTGCTGACTGTTAATCGGGAAGGGGAGTTCTCCCATAGCATCTGTTGGCCCACACTGTGGGAAGTGGGACTACCACTGCATGTGTGTGTTTTCTGTTCGTACTGTCACAGTGAGAAGCAAATTAGCATCATAGCAATAATAAACAGAAAGGACACATATTTTGCAAATTGTGCAAATACTACTAAACACAACTCCAGTTGATATGCTTATTCTTTTTTGCTGTTTCTCTGGCTTCTTCCTCTCTGAATATAATGGAGCTGCACTACAAATTGCATTAAAGAGATATTAGGGTCAAAGGCCAGAACGCTAGGCACACAGGTCATTACACTCACTGATGTGTGGAACCGGGGTTGGACTGCTCTTAAAACTCATTCTTTTAAGACTTTAGCGGTTAATATTCTTCTAATTTGACATATATCCACCTCAGGTCACATGCAGTGAGGCTGTTTTGGCTCGATTTCAAATGCAGAATAAATAATAATAATAATAATGCTTTTTCATATTCACTTGGCTGCATCAACGCTTCCTCTCTGTAGCACTGTGCAGTGCAATGGTGCTGCTTTATGCAAATATTTTCCAAGGTAAATAAGCTGCAGTGGTGTTTAATATAGTTAATATATTGACTATTTTAAAATAAAGCTATAAAGCCTCAGGGTGGAAGCAGGAAGTAGATCAAATGGGTTCAGCTCTCTGATTGGTTAATCATGTCCCATTGTTTCAGTCATTATTTTACTCAACTTTTAATTTCTTCCTCCCAAGGATCATTGAGCAAGGCAATTACATGGAGCTGACCTTGTGTATTAGGACCGGGGAGGAGGACAGGAAAGATGTCCCGTCACCTCGCTTTCTTTCTTCTTTTTTTTTTTAAATATTTTCCACAACAATATTTTTTTAAAGTGTGGCGTTAGAGCTTCCATCACCATTCCCCTCTCCTCTGTGGCTGAAAATGAGAGTCAACGGAATATTAAGTCCCTAGTATTAGAATAAACACGTCGTGTGTTAAATCAAAATCCAATTCTGTGGTCTATTATTTTCTGGCATAGTAATGACTGCCAAGGATTAGGAATCAATATTTCACTGCAGCGGGGACATTACCGGCTTTATTCAGGCCGTAATTGAGTTTTGAGAGAGGCCCTGCCCTGGAATCTGCATTAAAGATAAGCGCCCCCTTTCATGTGGATGCACAAGTAAAGTGCGAGCGAGGCGGCGTATTGCACATTAGCTATAAATTAGAGCACACGGCTGTTAACCTCCGAGCGCTGATGTAACTCGCTGGTTAAGGCTAATTCTAGAACTAATAACTGAGCACTGTGACTGTGTTCCAACTATCTGTACACCTGCTACACGTTTACGTCACCTGTTGGCGAACAAAGCAACATTTCACGAAGCGTCGACCTAAACAATTTAGCGTCGTGAGATCCGCGAGGCGACACCGCGCGCTGTAAAGTGGGGACAGCCGGCGCTCTTCCCGCTCTGTCTCTATTTCTCCGCGTGCTCTGATAGCGAATTGGCCCGGGCCACACAGCACCACCCGCGCGCTTGCAGCCTCGAGATAATAGCCTATTAGTGCAAGTGGGATTAATTTGTAGCCAATTACAACCCGTAGAGTTGAATAAGAATGCATAAATAAGGAGGGAGATGGCGACACACGGGCCTACACACACACACGGGGACAAATGTATGGTAGAGGCTCCTCGAGTGGCCTGCTAAAAGCCAAAAACGGAGACAAGAACTGAGAGAGGGAGAGAGAGGGGGGGGAGAGAAAGGGTTCTTCACTTAACTAATGGGGGAGAGAGAGCAAGAGAGGGGGAGCAGGCTAGTTTTAACTATTAGAGAGATAGATCAGTCTGTCCCGCCTTCAACTCCTGTCAGGCTTCCAGAGCGCGCAAGGCTGGAGGTCGGAACATCGCGCGCTGTTTATGTGTGCGTGCCAGTACGGGATAACGGCACGGTACGAGACGGACAGACAAAAGATCGCCGGAGACGCTGAGTTGCAGCGGCCGATGTAGAGGATGAAGGCCGGAGAGAAGAAGTTTAAAGTTTGACGGAAGCGAGAGTCCAGCTAAAGCTCGTATTCTGCCCAGACTGTCCGGATGCCAATGGAAAACTTTACCTGGGTGAACACGCCACTTGAGACAGAATGCTGACGGGACACATGAACCGGCCTGTGGCGTGAACTTGTTATTTGACATGAGTATCATCCAAGCTCTTTAAAACGACTTGGTGTTGATTTGTTTCTTTAAATTTTCAACTCTAACGGATTGTTATTATATGGGAAAGGGAGAGTAAAGTGATGAACCGGGACAGAGCGGATGGGGTCCAGACCGTGATAAGCCGGGAGAGAGCTGCGGCGGGGCCAGTGACGGACGCCGTGCCACCCGTCATGAGTCGGGACAGAGCGCTACCGGCGCCCAGCGGCGGGGACGGCGTCCAAACTGTGGTGAGCCCGGACAGCGGTGACTTGTTAGACGGAGCCGCCGCAGGGGAGAAGCGGCTCTTCTCCAGCGCGACCGCCGGCGGCAGAGATGCTCAGGCCACGGAGAACCACTCGGAAGCTCCACCGACGAATCCGGTGTTGGCCCCGCCACAGCAGGTAGGCTAATACGGGCAAACTTTATGAAGCGCTACCGGAGCGGTGCGTGACGGTAGCAGCAGACGGTAACGGCAGACTCTCAGGTAGCCGATATAGACCAGACAGGACACAACCGGGACACTGCAGCATAAATAAAGAAGCATCGAGACAGAGATATTACATTTGAGGAAAGAAGGATGGAAAAGTAGCTGGGCTAGCAGAAAAGTAAGAATTCTTAGCAGAGGGAGCAGCCGAAGCACCGAAAACTGAAGGTTTTTAAAATAAAATTATTTGGTTACTTTGTCCTGTTGTGTAACTGCTGTGATTGTTTTTAAAACGTGGCCCGTGTTGTCAGGTTATGGGTCATATTATGGAGATGAGGCCTTTAATAAAATGCAGCTGGAGAGTTTGATCGGAAAGAGACGAAATAAAAAGTTCTAAATTAAAACCATTCAAATTCGCTCCCGTAAAGGACGCCGGCTTTTATTTTCTTATAATTATTATTGCTCTAATTAAAGCTATTAGATTTTTTTTCGTTCGTTTCTGAACGAAATTAATTGAATTCAAAATAATTCAAAGTAGGCCTGTTTGTAAAGACGGGCATTTCTCTATATTTTTCCCTAGACGCGAATTTTGTTTATTCTAAAATAAAACGTGATTGTGTTTATTCGCAGCTCTGATTGTGGTATTTTTCGATTAGACTATTCTTATCACCAGTTGTTAATACGCCCCTGGGTCTTTCTCCAGAGGCTCCCTGGGATTATTTAAAGAGAGAATTACAATATTAATGTAGGATTATTCATGTCGACATGCTCAAGACTGGCCTCATTAATAAATGGATGATCCTAATCAGGATGTAATGCAGGGAGGGGTGGAAACAGAGTCACCGCACCACCTTTTATCTGTCTTTTACACTTGGCTACCTTTTTGACTCCACATAAATTATGATATAAAAAGTCTGAACATTTCTACATCACACTGTAAACCTTATGCAGGTTCAAACAATCTGGGTAAAGCAGTATTTTACCTTCAGTGTAAGCCTTCCCCTGAACTCACATATTTTCCAACCAATTACGTGTGGAAATGTAAAACTGAAGTTTTAGAAATCTATAGACTGCACTACTTAAAATGGGATTGATTCGTTTTTCTTCTGATAGCCTATTGACCGCTACACAGCCTGCGCAGGAAACGCAGCTGATCTGTGATCATGTTTGCTTTATGAACACACTTTACCGTCTGTTTTATTGGATGTGATGTGTGCTACCAACACCTAACACTGGGATTTGTCTTACTTCAGTCTTTGACTTTAGCACTGCTTACTACTAATAGTAATAATAGTAATAATAATAATAAAATATATATTTAAAGTGATCATTATTAATATTACAATTAAATATATAGCAGTTAAAATGCGTGGCAAAACGTAATTGTGGGGGGTACAAAAAAAAAGCAAGTTCAAATAAATTCAACTCTACGGGGTAAAAGGCGATAATATCTTGTTTTTTAACTAAATAAATAATTCCCATTTGTTACTCTCCAGGGCCCCATCGGGCACCGGACAACTTCTTTCTCCGTGCTGGACATCCTGGACCCCAACAAGTTCACGAGCAACCGGCGACACCAGCTGCAACAGCAGCACGTGAGCCACCGCGGCGAGCTCGAGCAGAGCGTGTACGGAGCGGAGAACCGGAGAGGAGGAGTCGGGGAGCGCGAGCCCAGCCTCGAGGCCAGCAAGGGCTACGGTGCAGACGAATATCAGAGCAGTAAGTCTGCGTGGACTTCAAACCAAGTCCATTATTGAACCATTTATTTTTAATTTCCTTTAATTTCTCGCCATTGCGTCAGTGACGTCTTTTCCTTCAGGCAGCTGAATTCAGTCGAACTGCTTCTGTTCCTGCTGAAAGTCCCGTTTCCTTAGAAACCACTCTGCTTTTAACGATTCTGTAACATCCTGTAACGTTTTCAGAAATTTGACCTGTTTTTTTATATGATTAAAATAGGTGTGCGCGCGAGCGCGTGTGCTCGCGCGTGTGCTCGCGCGTTTGTAGTTAGTGATTAGTTTATTTATTTTCTGTGTCATTCAAATCATATTTATTCTTACCCGTGAATTAACTGATTTATTCATATATAGTTAAACACACCAACATTAGCCTGAGTGAAACCCATGTAACCATTTTACATGGACCCCAATTTCGAATATAGAGCTTTTCCATTTCTACTTTAACATAGTCCATTTACGCTATTTATAAATAAGACATATTTTGTGAACACCGCTGGGCTTTTCCGACGGAAGAAAAATGATCCGGAAGAAGGCCTTTCTAATTCTGTTCATATTTTAAGGGCACTGCATTGTTCTGTGTGGTTTAGGATTCTGGTTTTAATTACCCACCAGTTGTTGTTGGGCTTTTGCTTCGTCCGTATCACGGAAATATTTTCTCACTAAACCCTGATGTCACACAGAAATCTGTGTTCCAGGAAACTTAGTCGGTGAAATCTTGTGATGATGTAAGAGATGAGAAAACTACCGAGTACGGACCATTAAAACATGGAAGAATGGGGAGAGCGGTTCTTTTTGCAAAGCTCTCAGGTTTTAAGTTTAAAACAGCATCTGTTTTTATCTAGAATTAAAAGGAGCAAAAAAGTTAATTGGCTGCAGTTCCTGTGTGTGATCGGTATTATTGGACAGGTGTGCACTAAGTTCATGGACCTCACGTAAACGCAGTAGCTCCAATCAGCTCCATCTCCTCGATGTCATATTATTATACACCAGTATTTTCCTCCTTTTTTCCTCTTTTCTTTGTTTTTTCCGTCACATTTTTATTTTCCTTATTTATTTATTTATTTTTAAATCTCTCATTTGTTTTAATTAAATTTTCCGTACATTTTACAGATTTCAAATCAACAAAATTCTGACTTTATTTTTCAGAAGCAGACACAGGCATATACCCTACATCATAAATAATTATAACTTCGTGATATAGTCGAGCTGGATTAAAAACAAAAGCTCAAAACAAAAGAAAAAGAAAGAAAACAGTAAAAACATCACAGGAACGCCTGCACTGCTGTTGTAGTTACTATTATTCTGTTTATTATACTGACTGCCACAAAAGTATCCCAGCACAGTGAAACTAGCGAAATAAATATCACGTACAGACTATAATAAATATAGTTGTAACATCAAATAAGGCTTTATTTTATAACGACTGTAAAATCAGGCCTTTTTAAAAATAAACATTTAAATTATAATCAGTATATGATTAAATGGCTGGCGTGTTTTTGCAATAACAAACCAAATTATTATTAATTTCTGTTTATTAGAAAATGGACAAGAAACCATCTCACCAAGCATCATGGTTCCTTTATTCTTAATTATTTTTATTAATATAATAATAATAAGTATTATTATTATTATATATGAGAAAAATAAAAAAAGTGGACATTTTATGAGTAAATTACATGTAAAACATAATCTTATCTTTTCTGCACACGTGTAAACCTGCTTGTTTTTTTTTATTTCTCTCAGGTTCTTCTGTCTACATCATCACAGCTAAACTAAACGTTCTGAGTTAGGTTTCATACATATTTTGTCTCTGATTTAATCTGTAAAACTACACAGTCTTACTCCAAATGATCCAACACATGCTCAGTCATTTTTCAGTGGAAATCATGGAGGTGGATTTGTCACTGGTTAATAAATGCTTTTATTTTCTCACTTTTTGGGGGGGACGGTTATAATGTAGGACAATATAACATTATACATTTTAAAAATATATAATTTAGTATTATTCAAGGTGTAGTTTACTTTTTCTTGCCATTTAAAACTGTTGATTTTGTCGATAAAAGGAACAGCATAATTGGGCCAAAAGTATTCAAACCAATAAGGTGACAAAAGCACACACAGTATCTCTCTAACGTTAGCAATAAGAGCATTTGCAGGGCTGTAAGCACACGTGTGCTGTACATGTTGGGGTGGACTGCGCTCGGTGTTTTCATGACATGTACGTGCACAATGCACAAACTGTATGAAAGCTTAGCGTGGACGTCCAGATCGTTTTTGTCCCTGACGTATAATTGCACTACTGAGTGCAGAGTAACCTGGCATTTCGTATTCCACATGCAAATGCTTAATTTTTCAGTACGACTCCAACAGCAGCCTCTAAATGTTTGGATGATACCAACTCAGAAAGAGTTACCGTTTCATTAAAGACTAAAGCACCATGTGCTTCTCTGAAGGGCTGACGTAAAAGCAGTCGATTTGCAGCTAAAATATTTAATTGGACATTTAAGAGGTCCAACAATGCCTATTAATGTTTTTCTGCTGATCTGTGGCACCTTAAAATCCACCATAATCCAATGCTCCATTGTTATTTTAGCACACTATTAGTATTCAAACACAATTTCTTTTACCTGATAATCATCTAGTATATTTTACAGTGTACAGTAATGTATGGTGATCAGTTTATGGTCGTTTCATACCTTTTCGTTTCGTCTGAAGATACTGTTTTCAGAACCTTCTTGATCTAATTGCCTTCTTATTTCTGTTGATTTTATCGTTTTATTTCCAAATATTGCCCTCACTCGTTTAGCCACAAATGAAGTAAGACCCCACAGACTTATGATGCGGTAATCGTGTGATGAGTAAACTCCAGAAAGTGGAGCACATAGCAAAAAATGATGATGGATACGGGATGACACAGTGATTAATACTAATGGAGAGCAGAGAGTTGGCAGCTCAGTATCAGCAGCTCATTCTTGCCCTCTGGCTCTTTAGCGGTTTACTCAGGTTAGGCTCACGGCTACTCTGTCTTTGGAAACTTGACGTGTTTATTCATTCAAGATATTTTTAAATTCAACTGCAAGTTTCTGAAGGAAGCATACAGTGGCCATCATTGGGACCGCAGTTCAACACTCACTGATTATGCTGGGAAGAGACTGTTTTTCCATATAGCAGATAATTAAGCTAATTACAATCCTTAGCTACATTTTTAGATTAATTGGGCTACTGTGGCAACGGTAATTATGAGGAGATAGGGGTAAATAGATGGGCCAGTAAAATTAGTACTTAGAAGACCACTGTTTGCTTTATGGCCAGCATTGTTTCTTCTAGCTGTAACCATTTCATAATCCATACTACCAATTTATTACTGCAACCAAGAAGCTGAACCTTAAAGTATTTATTTGAAGCCAAACCTTCTTTGCAGTGAAGATGCTTAAGGGAACCTAAATTTACACCCTTTGAAAAAATGTTTCTGATTGTAACTGATGAACTAAGACTTCAGACAGAAAAGATCAATTAAAAAGCTCTAGTCATTTTATGAAGTCTCCATATTGTGAGCTAACTTGTTCATATGCATATTTGTCAGACGCTAATAATTTGAATTACACGACGCACTGTGCTCCCTCTTCCTCGCAATATTTTGGTATCTTTGTTTCTGTAGCTCTGACATTTGGTACCAAATCTAGTTTAACTGGCTTAACTTGCTAGCAGTGCAGGACCATGGTTAAACCATGGGTTTTATTTAGCCTGCCTAAATATCTCAAGGTATTGGTAGTGATCCAGGTAGTGAATTACTTACATAAGCCTAAACATGAGCTTGGTGTGCCTTAATCTGAATAAACCACTTCATTAAGCTGCTGTGGGTTGTAGAGACAAACCACCTGTATAACCATGTAGGATGGAGAACCTGTTGGATGTTACATGTGGCTGAACTCTTTGTTGTGTGCGTTCTTCTAGAGGAGGGCTTTATATACAGAAGTCCGGATGAGGAAGACTTCCACAGATCTGGGACCCCGGACTCAGAGGCTGCAGACGGGCCCTACAGCAGTGAGGAGAGCAGCTCGGCTCTTCCCAGTAATGGAGACAGAGAACTAGGCCAGCACAGCCACCAGGATCCCAGCAGAGACACAAAGACCCCTAACGGAGGCCCCACAAGCCAGATCACCAGTCCCCAAACCAATGGGGGCCAAGGGGCCAAGCCCAAGAGGAAACGCTCTGGCTCAGACTCCAAGTCGGGGAAGCCCCGCAGAGCCCGGACTGCCTTCACCTACGAGCAACTGGTGGCGCTGGAGAACAAGTTCAAGTCCACACGCTACCTGTCAGTGTGTGAGCGCCTCAACCTGGCCCTGTCCCTCTCCCTCACTGAGACCCAAGTTAAGATCTGGTTCCAGAACCGGCGAACCAAATGGAAGAAGCAGAACCCTGGAGCCGACACCTCGGCCCCCACGGGAGGAGCGGGAGGAGCGGGAGGCACAGGGGGAGGAGCGGGAGGAGGCTTGGGAAGCCTCAGCCCTCTGAGCCAATCCCCTCCAGTCAGTGGGCATCTGGCCATGCACACAGGCTACGCCGGCCACCATCACCCCCCTGCTGGGAGCCTTGTCCAGCTGCCTTTCCTCACCGCCAGCCACGTCCTGTCTCCCTTCATGCTGGGGACACAGAGTTATGCTGCACCTGCGTTCTACAGCACACACCTGTAGATACACTCTCACACCTCTAGATACACAAACACAGAAATCCTGACTGAAATGTCCCAGTATGAACTGCAGCACAGCGTTCAGCTCCGCCCCCTTTTTTACTACCGTTTAAAGGCTTTAATTTTATTTTGATAGAATGTTAATATCTTGCAGAACTGTACATAAATCTATGTTCTAGCTCTGAATGCTGTTTTAAACACTGTAATAGACAAATAGTTGATCTCATTGTTTTCTTTTCTAAAGTCTGTAAAAATATTGAATGTTTATTTAAGACTTGAGAATGGCTTGATCTATCGTCAGTACCATGTAACTCCAGCTGTGATCGTTTTCATTTCTTTTATTTATTGAGGTGGTTAACAGTTTCCATAAAATCCTTGGATGTACTGAGTCCTCAGCTCAACATGGTATTGTCCTTTGATATTAAAATGATGACAATTAAACAGAAAAGTATCCCAGTAATTGTTTTTTTTTAATAACAGTGAGCTGAAGCGTTGAGTGCTGCAGTGCCTCAGAGGTAAGTGACTCCCATGCAGCTAATCCTGGGCCTGTTGGTGTGTTTGGATATCTGTGAGATTTCCTGTTTGTCAAAAACGAACCAATAAAAAAATCCAAATGGCAACTGGAAAATATTTATGCGAGGAAACGATACAAATCTCAAAAACGATAAAGATAATTACAGTGAAATGACTTTTCTGTCATAGAAATATGAGACGTGATGAATATAACGTCGATTACAATCTTTCGTTAATGTTTTGACAGACAGCACAATTGGCCAATGACAATAAGAATAGCACTGAGCCGAGCCAATCACGTGCCTGGAAAACAGACTGAGCCGCGTGATTCGGATAAGTTGAAGTAGTCCGCGCGGACCGCAGCACGAGCAGCCGCACAGCACGCGCGCAAAGTCCACTAAGAGTGTGAGCGAGATTTTTTTAATACAAGGAGCAAGAAAATTGAACATTTTAACGAAAACTGGAGCGACAGTGTCACAATGTCACCATTTTTTTTTGTCTCAAAAGACCAGAAAACTGTTGAAAAGAAGCGAGAGAGTTCAGTTTTTGCTTCTCTGTCGGACTTTAAATAATCATACTGTGCTTGAAGCGTGTTCCCAAAGATCCAGTAACAGGAGCATCTGGAGCAAATCCCATTTCCCCTGCTGAGAGTGTCGAGCGGCCTTTCTTTAAACATTTCATTATTTCAGATGATTTTGTTTCAGTTCGGTTCCTTCAGTATGTCAGTTTGTTTATGTTCTCCTTTATTTACATTTGAGCGCCTTTAATTTATAACAATATATATTTTTTAATTTTATCTTGTAATGATGTCTACAATATTTATCCGGAAGTGACAAAAATGTTTTATTTGTCTGTTTTTGTAATACTTGAAGCTGATTGGTCAGGATTAAATAGCGCTGTATCTTGTTCCACAGGACATTTATGGTCTGACACAAAATGAAAAACATTTAATCAAAATAAATCTTTTATCTTCAGTTAAAAAAAAATAACAATAAAAAAAATAAATCCAACTTATTTTAGCTCACGAGCCTCAGTAGTGAAAGTCTTCACAGGACTCTGCAGTGTTCTAATCTAAGAACGTATTTAAGAGGAAACGGCATCAGATCTAGTTGGTTTATCAGTCATCGTTAAGTGTAATCGTCTCTTTGAGTGGGATTATTTTGTTTTGTGTTATTATCAGAGAAAAGCGCCAGTGTTAGTCTCTGTTGCTTAAAAGGGGGAAGTGCTGTGGCAACCAGCCTGCTTTCAAAGTGTTTGTGCTGCTGTTAAATATGAAGAACATGATTCACACACTGCGTGTAAAACACGGATCTATAGTCACCCTCACTGTAAGCATGTGTACTTTTTTTTTTCAAACTTTTGAAGCCTTCCTCAAATGGCTATTTGCAAAATAGTTTTATGCATTTCTGCATTGGATGTTCACTGACATCGACAGGACGCTGTAATGACAGTCAACACTGAAGGAGTCAGATATGCTCCAGAAAGACACGCCTCCCGGATATTAATGATAGAAAGCTTCTTAAAAAAAAAGCAGCGGCCACCCTTAGTAGTAGTATTTTTTCATTTAGTAAAAAGTAATATAGAGTAGTATTTTTTTAGTTTCACATGAACTTTGCATATTCATGCAGCGTCTGTCAGCTAGCATGCCTCCATCACTTTCTGCAGTTACTCCACTGCAAGAGGCCACAAGTGTTTCAAAGGTGCGTTGATATAATCCCTGAATAATTTGTGCAGCGTGTCCGGGTGCAGGTGCATATCACTTTGACTCCCATGCTGAGACCCACGGTTTACCAGCACAACATCACATCCTGAACTTAAATTGCTTCATATAGAATACCAAGTTAGAAGACATGGGTACTCTGTGCACTCATATCCAGCCAATCATATGAAGCTGCTGAGAGCAACTGAAGTTCTAGTTTGGTTAATAGCTTAACTTGAAAAGGCTGTGTTGAGGTTTGGGTTCAGACCTCAGCACAGCTTAAACAAAAGAGTGTTGATACACATTTGGCAGCACAATTAATGCTTGAAGCTATATTATCACAGTTTTTATTTTATGAGTTTTTTTCCTGGTATAAATGAAACAAGCCCAGAACAGATAAATTTGTTTGTGTGGGCGTCGTGTGGGAGTGACTGACTTTTAGAGCTACAGCTCCTTGTTTCAGCACACCTGTCAATCACGGCAGCCACACCCCTGATTTAAGCTTTACAACTGTTACGAAGGAGGAACCCACTGTTATGTAGCAGCCTGTAAACATGTTCCGTAGTTTTTGCTGTAAACTGGACGTTTTAACATGACGGTCATTGAGGACTCACTAACCTTTTTAACCAGGATTAAGTGGCCACTAGAGGAGCTGCAGGTTTTAGCATTTCTTATTAATAACGATAATAATAATAATAATAATAATAATAATAATAACCAGCAATGAAATGATAGCTGATGTTTGGACAGGTGTGGATCCTCTCATAGATTTGTTATAATGTCATCATTGCAAAAGTACCGACTGAATAACGCGTTCTATGTGCCTGTTAGACAGTACACAGGAAGTACCATGTTCCGCACAGACAAAATTGCCGCCTTTATGGATAATATAGAAGTCCAAGGGATTTAATGACGCTGAAACAGTCCGG